ATGGCAGGCAACAGCAGTAGGCAACGAAGCTAACAGATGTCACTGTTGTTCAGTCTCTCTCTCTCTCTCTCTCTCTCTCTCTCTCTCTCTCTCTCTCTCCTGTGTGTTTAGAACCATCCACATTTTTACAAATTTTTTTTTTAGACAAGGTCTCACTCTGGGGCCAGGCACAGTGGCTCATGCCTGTAATCTCAGCATTTTGGGGGGCTGAGGCAGGAGGATCACCTGAGGTCAGGAGTTCGAAACCAGCTTGACCAACATGGTGAAACCCAGTCTCTACTAAAAATACAAAAATAAGCCAGGCGTGGTGATTCCCAGCTACTCAGGAAGCTGAGGAAGGAGAATCGCTTGAACCCAGGAGGTGGAAGCTACAGTGAGCCAAAATCTTGCCACTGCACTCCAGCCTGGGCTACCGAGCTAGACTCTGTCTTGGAAAAAAAAAAAAAAGATGCAATGGCTCATGCCTGTAATCCCAGCACTTTAGGAGACCAAGGCTGAGGCAGGTGGATCACCTGAGGTCAGGAGTTCAAGACCAGCCTGTCCAACATAGTGAAACCCAGTCTCTACTAAAATTACAAAGTTATCCAGGCATGGTGGCATATGCCTGTAATCCCAGACACTTGGGAGGCTGAGGCAGGAGAATCACTTGAACCCAGAAGACAGAGATTGCAGTGAGCCAAGATCATGTCATTGCACTCCAGTCTGGGCAACAAAAGCAAAACTCTATCTAAAAAAAAAAAAAAAAGGAAAAAAGAAAGAATAAAGCTTTCAGAACGGGGTGGGGGTGGCTCACACCTGTAATCCCAGCACTTTGGGAGGCTGAGGCAGGCAGATCACTTGAGATCAACAATTCCAGACCAGCCTGGCTGACATGGTGAAACTCTGTCTCTACTAAAAATACAAAAATTACCTGGGCATGGTAGTGTGTGCCTGTAGTTCACCTCAGCTACTCGGGAGGCTGAGGCAGGAGAATCGTTTGCACCCAGGAGGTGGAAGCTACAGTGAGCCAAGATCATGTCACTGCACTTTAGTCTGGGCAAAAGAGCGTGACCCTCAAAAAAAATTTAAAAAAGATAAATAAAGCATAAAACATTTGCTGTAGATTGCTAAGCCTTGGTCCCACTGGTATATCTTCTCCCAAAAGAATCCCTAACAAAGTACTAAGTTATGTGGCATAGATTCTGAGTGAGAAGTTTGTTTCTTCTTCCCTGTTAAGAAAAAGTGTCCAGTGATTGCAAAAAAAAAAAAATAATTAATTGATTAAAATAATGTGTATAAATTCTTCTAAGAGGGCTGGGTGCAGTGGCTCATGCCAATAATCCCAGCACTTTGGGGGACCGAGTCGGGGGGATCATGAGGTCTGGAGTTCGAGACCAGCCTGGCCAATATGGTGAAACCCCCTCTCTACTAAAAATACAAAAATTAGCCGGGTGTGGTGGCAGCTGCCCGTAGTCCGAGCTACTCCTGAGGCTGAGGCAGAAGAATCACTTGAACCTGGGGGGTGGAGGTTGCAGTGAGCAAGATAGTGTCACTGTGCTACAGCCTGGGCAACAAGAGCAAGACTCCGTCCCAAAATTAAATAAATAACTATTTAAAAAATAAATCTGGCCGGGCACGGTGGCTCACGCCTGTAATCCCAGCACTTTGGGAGGCCGAGGCGGGTGGATCACGAGGTCAAGAGATCGAGACCATCCTGGTCAACATGGTGAAACCCCGTCTCTACTAAAAATACAAAAAATCAGCTGGGCATGGTGGCGCATGCCTGTAATCCCAGCTACTCAGGAGGCTGAGGCAGGAGAATTGCCTGAACCCAGGAGGCGGAGGTTGCGGTGAGCCGAGATCGCGCCATTGCACTCCAGCCTGGGTAACGAGACGGAAACTCCGTCTCAAAAAAAATAAATAAATAAATAAAATAAATAAATAAATCTAAGAAGCTCGTATTAGGAATTTTTTCATTTGTAATTAAGATAATACTCAGCTTAAACCATAGAGCATTTTTTTTCTTTCAGACGGTGTCTCGCTGTGTCACCCAAGCTGGAGTGCAGCGGCATGATCTCAGCTCACTGCAGCCGCCACTTCCCAGGTTCAAGCAATTCTCCTGCCTCAGCCTCTGGAGTAGCTGGGACTACAAACGCACACCACTACGCCCGGCTGATTTTTGTATTTTTAGTAGAGACGGGGTTTCACTATGTTGGCCAGGATGATCTTGAACTCCTGATCTCGTGATCCACCCACCTTGGCCTCCCAAAGTGCTAGGATTACAGGTGTGAGCCACCACGCCAGCACCATCGGGCATTTTTATTAGTAAGATGTCTCACGGCGGGCTTGGCAGCTCATCAATGCCATCAAGGGCTCAAGTTCTTTCTCTTTCTGCTCTGCTTTTATAAGGACCAAAAGAAAGCCTTTCCTCCACCCTCTAACGGTTCCCTAAAAATGAACTTGTACTCATGGGATTAACCCAAACTGCACCTACTCTGTTGATAATAAAATGTCCAGTTAAGGGCCGGGCGCGGTGGCTCACGCCTGTAATCCCAGCACTTTGGGAGGCTGAGGGGGGTGGATCACGAGGTCAAGAGATCGAGACCATCCTGGTCAACTTGGTGAAACCCCGTCTCTACTAAAAATACAAAAATTAGCCGGGCGTGGTGGCAGGCTCCTGTAATTAATCCCAGCCACTTGGAAGGCTGAGGCAGGAGAATCACTTGAACTGGGGAGGTGGAGGTGGCAGTGAGCTGAGATCACTCCACTACACTCCAGCTTGGGTGACACAGCGAGACTCCATCTTGAAGAAAAAAGAAAAAGCCTTGACCTCTGATACCACCCAGAACAAACCGTTCTTTCCCTCAGAGCCAAGAAGACAAAGACATGATGAAAACCTGAATGCTGGGACTATTTCAGAAGCGAGGGGTCCATTGGCCTGGAAGATCCAGTGCTAGGATCTGCCTCAACATACCTTACTGTAAATGATCAGATTTGAAGCCTTCCAATCAGACTCTGCCAAGCCAACATTCTTTTTTTTTTTTTTTTTTT